TATTATATATATATATATAGTATATATATATATATATATATATATATATATCTTCTTGCATATAATTTAACGCTCTGACCGATTATGTAAATTTGTAGGATCTCTAACGAATCTACGTAAATTAGTTAGACCTGTGTCTTCCTGAAATCTTAACGCGATAAATATCTTCGTATTTCATCTTTCTCGGTACAATAGGCTGACTTCAATGACAACGGATTACATAACACCGACATCATACCGTACAGTAATATTATTTATATATATATATAGCATCACGATACGTTAATTTTTTTGTGTACGGGTATGTGCATGTGAACGGGTATATCGTACATGTGGCTAGCACGCATTTGAAATCAAGGAGGTAACGCACGGTATCGGGCCGCGACGTATATACTCGTCGCGCCCACACGCCTACTGCTATTAAGGTTACTTTTCTTGCCTCGAGTGTTACCGTCCGAGTTTAACATTAAGTTCGTTACACAGAGATACTTGATAATATTATTGAAGGGACGAGCGTCGTGTAATCGTCGTGTAATCGGGGGTAAATCGATGATGCGTACTCTATCCTATTGGCCTGCCACAGCTTGAACGCGAAATCAAAGTAACGGCTGGAGACCGCGCTTTTCGCGCTTTCGTTGTGTCCAAAATCACTAATACAAAACTTTGAAGACTTCGGTGTTTCGGGCGGCCACAATTAACGTCGATCGAACATTAACGTATCTAGCGTTCGCGAAATAACTTTGAACGAAAATGCGAAGTCATGACGCAACTTTCGAATATCGAGGCTTTCGCCTCTTTGAAATCTCACAGTCCGATTATTTATTATTCATATATTGCATTAAAACTTTGCAGTAGTCGCATGGAGTCTTGTATAATGTCATGAGCTTGCTCTCATAAATATTAATTATATTGCTACAAGTTTATGCATTCAGTAATATGCGAATAAATTCAACAACCCGATTTGTATCCATAAAATTGACAATGTTTTAAATTTAAACGTATATCTAGCTGTTTGTTAAGAAAAAAGATGATAAGGAAAGTAATAAAACCGCAACGATCCCATGCCACTACCGCCGGCTTAAAGCAAACGAAAAGGAGAAAAGGAAAGAGGAGGCACTGAAGCTCAGCGGTCGTACCACCAAGATGATATGTACGTAAGAGATTTCTCCTCGATGTACAGTGACGAATGCTCAAGAATGCACACATACGAAGTGAAGTGATATATACGTAGAGCGTTACGTAATCTAGAGGCGCGAGACACGCGCAAATTATTACTTATTGCACGATCCTCTCGCGATAATCGGAGGATCGTCGAAGGATTGAAGCGACTTGCGGTACGTCGGTTCCGTAAGGCGGGAACGTGACTGAATATCTGCAAGTCGTTCAACTGCATCTTAGCATACGCACAACGATCGATACTATGGAGATCACTAATTTTTACAACTACGATTGATGCACTGATAAGGATGCATTCTGCTGAATGGTTTGTCGATCGACTCACAGAGAATTCTTCGTAACTGCATTCCTGTGAATCTTGCAGGTCACGCGAAAGATTTTCAACTATCTAAAAGATTCTGATATCGTCATAACACTCCTGCAGGAACGATGTCGCAACGCGAAGATAAATGCCAAATTCCTCGGCTGAAAAGCGCCGGGGATCATCGAAAATGAAATTACGGTGAATTCTCATTAGTGCTATTTTATATGAAATGCAGATGTGTGTGCTATATATGTACACATACATATATAAATGTATATTATTTGACGTTACTGGGATCGACTTCACGTGCGGCTAGGGGAAACGGCATTTATCATACTTGTCGACCTTTTGTTTCTTATCACGGACGCTGTTTTATGTATACACAGCGACCCGAAGTATCCTAAGAAATTGAAGACGCAACATGGTTATTGTGCTAATCTACGGATATTGCTGGTGCATTATTTCTCGAACTACGGTGCAGTCGGTGCGTTTCAAAACGAAAATGAAAATATTGATTGCTGCTTATGACATCACACGGCCACCTAAACTAAAACTAAAACGTGTTACTAGTTAATGCTTCAGTTAAGTTATGATCCAAGCAACGAAATGCCCGACGCTGTATCGTTATTTTTCGAAGTCGACGCGCAATCGCTCGAACGATCACTTTGCGACAGTTATGGACGAAGTTCGCGGCTTCGTGTTTATTATTATTTGCGACGTATCAAATAAGATCTTTGAAATACGCTACAAATAATAAAATAATGAGAGAATTTATCTTAATATCAGTAAACTAACGATCAAATAATATTTTCACTTTTGTTAAAGTTTATCTTAATTCTATTTTTTCCTCAATCGTACACAAATCTTAACAAAAAATGATGCAAATATTTTAATAAAACTGAAAGAGATTATTTTTTATTTTTAGAAAAAACTTGCAATAACATGAAAAAGTTTATAGAACAACACAAAACGTTAAAATATTAAAAATTGGTCCAAAGAGCGATCGATCGAACGAAACGCGCGCGCAGAGCTTTCTTTTCTACAAACAATCTCAAGGATCACAGTCACAAGGATTTCTTCGAACAAGCGAATCCTAAATCCCTCTATCCACTCTACCGTCTGAACTCAACGTCGATGATTTGACTAGGCTGCGACGTGTGGCCACGTGCGTGCCGCTTCTAGTTTCTATTTGTATCTAGTGCCTAGACTTCGCACCCCTGAGATATTCTTCACCTGTAATCGCGTCTATACGCGTTCTAGCGCTGATCGATTGACCTTCACGCGGTGATGTGATTATGATTGTTTGATTGCTCTTCTTCGCACTGTGGCGTCAGCTCTGAAAACGGAATTGGAGACCCGTCTCGTGTGCGTCAAGCCGTTCAAACTTTTGTGCAGTCTTTGTGTTCCTGTTTAACCCTTAATTGCATAAATTTTTCTCTTCAAAACTTCGTGAAACGTGCTAAATTAATGTTTCCACTATGAAAGAATTGGTGAAGAAGAGAGCTCTAACATATAATTTACATTTAAGTACTTTCAAGAATACGATTATGTTTTTTGCAGAAGTATACCGACATAACAAACTATTCAAAAGGTTGTATTTCAATCCTTTGATGTGTAAGACACTCAAAAGCAAGATGTACGTTGTGTACGGAACACTTTTTTGTGCGTTACACAGATCGTTTTCGCGTTTAAAAGAAACCTGTCTTATCGTTGCACACAAAATAATCGTTTTTGTTCAATATTTTATATCTTACGAGTGCTAAAGACGCCGATAGCACACAATGAGCGAGATCGTAGCGAGCGCTTGTAGACATTGATACTGCATATCAGCATTTTTGTCGAACTTATATAGATGCTAAGGCGTCTGTCTCACTTAGAAGATATTCAGTTCGTAACGCATGGAAGACAATCTACCATCACGTTATTGCAGAATTGAAAAACCGTCAGGATTGCAATTATCTCCGCGGAAATTATGGTATATACAAGCGCTTACTTATACAACGTATTCTTTGATATACTCTTTGATATCGAAGGTGCGTAGTTGTAAGTTGAATGTAAGCTGGACGGGTGCGCACACTTCTTCACCGCGATTGACAATCACTGAAGAAACAGTGTGTCTCAGTGAATATACAAATGCAATGAGAACGAGATTTATAAAATGTATAAACAACAGATCACGTGCTGTATAAAGTCCAATATCTGCTTAAAACGCCGTCTATTTCATTCTCGTCGCAGCGATTGTACGCATTGTAGCTTATACCTTTCGAAAATCATTTTTGTCCATCGCACTTTATCCACCGACTTTTAATACCGCGAACAACGTGATACGAAGGACACTTCAGTGTCAAGGCACATGAAAATCAAATCGTTAATTATTTATTACTTACGCGATTGGGAAACCGCGGAAAAGACACGACGAAACCGTATAATGTAAGATTTCCATTACACAGGGAATTCTAAACAAGATTGTACTTTCAAAGAAACTCGCGCTCTCTTTGTCGCTTAAATTTACGTCTTCCTCTTTATTTCTATCAATTAATTACATATTAATTGATGTAGATTTTCAAAGATAAATTTTTATCACATTATTATTTTTTTCAGCGAGTGCTTGCGTCAACAGAGTGTGTATTTTCAACGCTTATTGCAACGTTGATCCTTCCTTTTTTTTCAGAGCTGAAACCACAGTCGATTATATTTCCCGACCTCTCCTTGTTACTTTTATAACAAGTTAAATCCGTTCATTCGATGAAAATTGCCTTTCTACGTGCTGTGCTCCGCGTAGTTTTCACTACGTTTATCCGATATACTTCGCCGATGCTACATTCAGTTCCTGTTCGCACATACGTACGCGTATATGTATATATTTGCAGATCTATGTGTCGGGATCATTCTGTTCCGCATTGCACGATCGCATGCCGGAGTAATCAACGCCCACGTCCGTGAGAATCATTTTTCGATCGATCCTTCCGTTTCTCGCGCCAAGATCCGTCGCTTACGCGATCTCTCGTTCCTTAACGCTAAAATCCAGCGACTAGATTTTCATGAATTTTCCACCGACCACGCGGTCGCCCCTGCGTGGTTTCAACGACGACCCGCGATGTGCGAAAAATTTAGGAAAAGAAATGTCGCTACTTTCGGGATGCGCGACAAATTTTTATCTTTAATGAGGATTCTGCACGCGAGATATCCCCGTGAGAAATTTATTAGCGTGCCGCGCGAATTGATTCTGCCGACATATCCGGCGAGCGGATATTTCGACGAACTAATCGCGCAACGGAATTATCGGCAAAGAACTCGCGGATTCAGATTTTCGAAGATACGAAAATCTTGTCCGTGGTATTGTAAAACAATTCGCTCATCCCTGATTACCTTAAATACTACTTGTGCGTTTAAAAGTAGAGACAACTACACACTTTGTCCTTCCCGACTTGTAGTTCCCGATGAAACCAAACGACCGCTTGCAGTCTCGGTTAGCCAAATGTTCAGAATAATGCCCGAATCTCCTCTTTTTTTGTCGTCTTCGATTACCTCGAATGACGGTAGGCGTACATATATATTTTTTACAAACATTGCGAGATCGCCCAAAGAGACGCCCATTTGCCTGCCTTAATTTCCATCTCGCAATGCATTTTCCCTTAAATGACAATATGACACACGACGATCCAAACGTTAAGCCTAAAAGTGGGTGCTCGAAGTAAAACCGGTTGAGGAGATGCCAGGGGCCTACAGAGCGACTCTTTACTTTTAACGGTGAGAAAGCACGTTTTTTATGGTTTATGTGACGCAAATATTTCACTGGGTGTCGCAGTAGCAATTCAACATCAAAGCTGATATTAAAGAAACTGCCGTTCTCCACTGAGCTTGCCTAACTTTTCATTTAATTCGTCGATTAACACGGATTGATTACCTCGGATTATACATAGAATCTACTTTACTTCTCGAACGTACGCACACACACACACACACACACACACACACATACGCATTCGACCATGAATCTCTCTCAATATACAGGACCTACTTAGCTACCATACATCGCGTTAGCTTATTAAGTCGTTGAACGCGGAAATCCTCGTGTTTCAGCTTCTCCCTAAAGTACACAGTAATCGTTGCTAAATGCTATCACGTGCTTTGTTCGACCCGATCGAGCGCGAAAGCTTTCAATCTCGGATAATTTTCGATCAAATTCAGATAGGTTCAGCGCACCTCGCGTGCGGCATGCAGTTTCGCGAGTTTCCTACGACAATCTGCAAATATATAGATATTTATATGCTCTTCGCGCGTCAACTTCCGCACGATCGGCTCATCTAGTAAGACGAGCTGTTCAATCCTGGAACATGCTCAAGGATCTCCGTAGAATATCATGAGTTCGTGTTTTTGGTGCCGACTTATCGTTAGATACCTCACCGCGAGAGCGCTCGATGTCCACGCTCTCGCTGCGTCGGCCCTATCTTATGGTCTACATGTCGCCAAAGATCCCGGCGAAGGTCTTTCGCAGATTCTTCATCGTGTCCTCGGTGTCCTCGCCCGTGGCCTGCGATTGGCTGCCTTGCCGGTGGAACGGCACCCTGGACGTCGGCGGTATGTCTTCAGTACGTCGACCGACGGACGGCGCGCTGCTCACTGTGCTTGATTGAGAAGCTATAAGAATTAAGAACGGAAATTATTGAATTAATTAGATCTGCTTTGATAGAAGATTTGATTGAGGAACTAATTATGTGATAAAGCATAGAAGCAGGGCGTTATTTGATTTCTTCATTTGATTATTTCATTTCTAGGATGCAATCTTATCGTGTACTTTAATGTGCAATATTTTTAATTGAGAGTGAGCGACAACGTTAATATTTAGTAATTGTGAAAAATTAGTTATGGAAAATATTAATTGTCGAAAAACTAATGCATCCAAATAAAATAATTCTAAATCCGTGATATTTAGCTTCACAAAATATTGATTTACAACATTTAAAACACAGATTTTTAAAAATAAATGATTCTTGTATTTAACATTATTATCAATTCTCTCTTTAACTCAAGTCTTGCTTTAAGTGTGTCGATTTTTTTTATAAACACTGTATATA